TGAACTGAGATCATATAAAGAGGAAAAAACAAAGAATCTATATGTGAAAAAGTCTTAAAACATTTGTGAACAAATCTTTAAAATGAATTTTAATGTATGGTCATGCTGGATAAGATTAAAATGATTTATTTGAATTTTAATATAAAAAGCTAGTACAAAATTTTTAAAAATTCATTTTTTTCTATTAAAAGACCAACATTTTCTTAGATGATAATTCTGCTTTTAATTATAAACAAAGGTTTCACTTGAATGTAATCAATCTAGAAAAAGTCTGTTTTATCTTCAAGTCTTTGATTACTTAGAAAAACTAAGTATCTGTATTTGCCTGTGAAGTCTTTCCCACTTAAGTTAAATGGATAACTAAGTATTGTTTTATAATGATCTGTGATCCTGTTTAATGAAAAGTCTTAATTCTAAAATGAAGTCTTTCTGAGTTTGAAATTTCCCAGAGGATCTCTGGAAGATTTTATTTATTTGATAGAGTGAGAAGCAGGTTTCCACTGAGCAGGGAGCCTGCACCGGGCTTGATCCCAGAACCCTGTGATTATGATCTGAGCTAAAGGCAGATGCTTAACTGACTGAGCCACCCAGTCACCCCGCCCTGGAAGATTTCAAAGCTTTGTTCTCCTCATAAAAGAAAGATGTTAATTATGTTTATTTGGTATGTTAAATTACATGGGAATCACTGTCAAATAAGTGATGCTAAACCTTCTTAGATTATATATCCATAAATATAATTAGAATAAGTGTTCTAGAAATTATATTAAACTCCTAGAAATCTAATATGTCTGGGTATATTATATAATAGATAATTCTATGTTATACAATCCGAGTTGTTATCCTGATGTGCTGAGCATCACAGAAATAACCCAATTGTAATCAGATCTTTTCTGATTACCATTTCTAAGTCTTTTTGTCATTTTTGTCACTTACAGATATTGTTTTACCTTGATGCTTTTGCAAAAGTGCTTCATGTTCAAGGAGATTCAGGAAAAGACTGATGAATCTCTAGACTACAGGCCTCTAATAAGTTAAGACCATACCACTGAACTAACTGAGTGTAAGAATTTAGAGAACTCTAATGGAGAGAAATTTATAGCTTTGTAAAACAGAAGATCGAGATCAACAGAAGTTAATTACAAATGGGACTGAATAAATGGAGAATTACAATTTTTCTGACTTTTTGTTTGAAAAGTATTTCAAATACTTTTTGCTTTTTAATTTTTTTTTAATTTTTTTTTTTTCCATATGTAGGAAAACCTTTCCTCAGCAATTTGGTAAATTATACCTTTGTAAGCAAAACTGAAACATTTATCTTCTGCCTATCTGATTCCCCCCAGGAATTGGAAACTCTCAGTGAGTAGTCTTACATACTCATGGAAATATATTTATTTATGTTCAACTATAATCTGTCTTCCTTAGGACACAGTTGGGAACACTGGTTTTATTACTAAGGTTTTGACTGGAATGTCATATTTAAGAGAGAGCTGGATAGGCTCAGATCAGACAGCTTTAAGGAACTAAGGTTAGCTTTATGGAGCCAACAACATGCTTTGAAAATGTCAGTGCGATACCTTGATGATAGGGTTTTCAACATCCTTACCAGGTTAAGTAAAGAAGGCCACTTTCAGGCAGGTGCAAGAACCTCAGGATATTTTGGGGACCCTGATAAGAAAGGAAGTAACTCAAGTCAGTAGGTATAGCAGGCAAAGCATGATGGCCTTATTTCTTAGGCTCTAGAGGCTATTAAAAATTCAGTCTCTGCTACCTTATGAAAAGTTCCAGCAAAGCAGATTTAAAAGAGCCTACATGATCAATCACTATTCTCCTTGCACTTACGCATGTAATCAAGCTCACCGAAACAAACTGTCTTACTCTGGTTATAATTGATAGAAATGGGAGTAATTATAGAAAGAAAAATTGTCTTAACTGAAACTATGTGAACTTTTAGATATTAGATTCTGGTTCTGTTAACTTGTCTTTGAGGTTTTTTTTTCTTCCTGTGAACTAGATCCTGATTCCTTCTAGTTTCCTCAAACATCTGGTTACATCTTTCCAAAGTAACATTTCTGATAATCTCTCCCATTCCTTTGACTTGAAATCACTGAAAAATAAAATTGCCCCTTTTTTTGAAGCACTGAAAACTGAATATGAATGACTTCACGGGACCAGAGAAATCACAACAGTTTATGTATGGATAACCTACAAGTAACCATGTAGCAACCAGTACAGAGATCACCAGAGGCACGTAAACTGCAAACCAGAAAAATCTGATTGTGACTCCTTGGCTTCACTCTATCTAAGGGTGCTTTGAAACGGACTTTTAGAAATCTTCTCAAGTGGCTACCCTCAGAACTGAGAAACTGATTTATGATTTGCTCCAATTATTAACCAGTATTTTCCTTTTCGCTCTATGGAAATGATGTATTTAATACTTGATTACTTGAACCACAGGCCTGTTTGTAGGGTTCCTAGGTTTCTGTACCTGCCAAGGCTCCCAGATGTCTCTTACTGACGGGTCCTTCAGCCCGTTCACTCAGTTTAGCTCTGGTAAGGCAGGCCACGTGGAACACAATAGACCCATTAACCCATTACTGTCAATACCAACCCCTTTATAAAATCTAATCCCTTTATCAGAGGAGTCACTGATAACTACAGAAGAACACACCCCTGAGCCCTCCTAGCCTATGGAGGCAGTGGTGCATAGGTTATGTTGGCCCTATCACTAGAAACCCCGTTGTAAATAAAAATATTACATAGACTGGGGCGCCTGGGTGGCTCAGTGGGTTAAAGCCTCTGCTTTCGCTCAGGTCATGATCCCAGGGTCCTGGAATCGAGCCCCACATCGGGCTCTCTGCTCAGCAGGGAGCCTGCTTTCCTTCCTCTCTCTCTGCCTGCCTCTCTGCCTACTTGTGATCTCTGTCAAATAAATTAAAAAAAAAAATTAAAAAAAAATTAAAAAATAGACTACTATGTTGTTAGATAGAGGGTTCATAACAATGATACAAGGCTAGTCCACTAATCTACAAAAAAAAAAAAAAAAAAAAACTTAAAGGGACCAATGGAAGCATTAGGAGGAAAATAAAACCCAGCTACATGGATATGCAGATTCCTAACACGAGATGACAGACTACCCATGGAGGTTAAATGACTTAGTTTCCCAATACAGAAGACATTCTTGGCATGGATGTAATAGATCATACTCTATGTAACAGAACATACTCAAAATCAGGAAAACCTTCAGAACTCTGAGGGGAACAAATTCATGTCCCTACTACATACTAACCCAGTCTGGACTGTTAAAAAGCCAGACAGGCCATATCGTTTCACAGTAGGTGATGGGGCCTGAAACACTCTCCCCAAACTCAGGGAGCACTCTGGCATATAGGCACTATCATAACCAACAGCACACTGAATCCAGACACTATGACATGGTGAGAGACTTAGGTGGCATGTTCTTGGCTATCCCAATGGATGAGGAGAGCCAACCCATGACTGCATTTCCATGGGAAGGCAGAGGAGATCAGTTTGCTGGGCTGCCACAAGGATATCTTAGCAGTCCAGGAATGGTCCACAACCTTCCAACACGAGACATCCAGACCTTTGATGAAAACACACACAAAACCCAGTATCTCCTGTAGATTGAGGGCATCCTTACTTATGGCGATAACCAGGGCCAAAATAGAGTGAACTGAATCCCTTCCACTCAGAAAATGGAAAACTGACACAGGTAAGGTCCAAAGACCCCAGGCTACAGTAAAAGTTTTAGGCAAAATGTGGTCCTCTGAAGGCATAAAAATACCACACCCAGTCATGAACAATATAGATTGTGTATCAACTCCTACCACAAAAGCAGCAGCTCAAACTGATAGGAACTATTTGGATATTGGCTACATGCCATACCACCTATGGGGATAATATTGAAACACATTTATGAAATAAAGAGGAAGAGCAGAGAGTTTAGATGGATAGAGACTCAAGACACAGCCTTTATTTCTTTGAAAAATGCTGTCAGAATGTTTACACATTGGGACCAGCTAATGAGGACTCTGAATATAAACTAGAGTGCCTACACCCGGGAGAGTTTGCAGCAGCAGCACTGTGGACTGAAACACCACTGAACCCCAAGTTTCACCTGACTGGGCTTTACCCTATGGAGTTCCCACTGTCTGGGAATATATACCAACCAACTGAAAGTCTCATCTAAACATTCTGTGAGGCCCTATGAAATACAGAACCACTGACAGAAAATAAACCAATTATACTTAAACTCCAACCACCTTCTGGGGTAGGTAAAGTAGACCCCTGACAAATAGATGACAAGTAGTCATGAGCATAACATCCTAAGATAAAAATAGTATATATCAGAGTGGAGCATGCAGATGAAAGGTTGACCTCTGTATTAACTGAAAAGAATGTCAACAATGCCAATAGTGGACGTGCTGGGTTTCAAGGCATCAGCTGGAGCAGTTGGACAGTAAGGACCACCCTGGTCCACAGCAGTCAATGATGTCTGGTTTCAGATGGATCAGGCTCCCTGCCATCCTTCAGAGTATGCTGGCAGTTGTAGCCTTGAGAACTAAGAATGGTCTATCAAAATCAGGCTGAAGGTAATCAGGACAATAGATTGAATTTGTTGCCATCAAATTGGTAACTGAGCAGTCTGTTAAGGAAAATCATAATGATATAAGTGTGTGTGTGTGTTTGTGTATACATATATGTGTGTGTGTTTGTATATATATATGTATATATATACATATATATATATTTGGACCTAAGGCCAATAGTAAATGAATAGCTCTTTGGTCAGGTCATGGCAGGAAAATGGGAAATAGGATATAAGAACATATGGGGTAAGGACATATGGCAGAAAATAGCCCTGGATGACATCTCTATAGAGGTCTCCGCGCATCAGAAGGACAACTCTGAAGTAACAAATATTAATAACCAGGTAGCATATATAAACAAGAAGGACAATGAAACATAAAACACAGACTCACAGATATACCAACTGAAAGGATCACTGCATGGGGACATCACCAAATAGTCATGTTGGCATACATGACACAAGAATGCTGTTGGAGAAAAGAAACATGTATATAACTACTGAATAGCCTCAGTTTGAAATTAGGAAATGTGAGAAATCTCAACATTTTGAAGCTTATTTATTGATTCCTTATTACATTGAGTCATCTGCGTAAGATCAAAGATAATCTTTCCAAATGACACAAAGTATGAAAAAAAATGACACAAAGTAATTACATGGCCTAAATCAGAGAATAAACTATTTGCATGGCCACTCTAGGCACATAGGAAGACGATTACCCTATCTTTGCAGGAGAAATGATAAAAAAATTCACAATCTAAGCCTTAGAAATCTGGATTGCTTGCTCTGGTTTTCCAACCATCATAAAATCAGATCAGGGCACCTACTTCACAAGAAAGCTAATACAAGAATGGGCTAAGAAACAAGACATAATATGGAACGTCCCCTTACCCTATAACCCAACCACCTCTGGATCAATTAAGAGAGGTGTCATGGCTTCCTTAAGCAAAAGCTTAAATTACTAACAATCCAGAATAGGAAAGCTTAGACTAAAACAATCTAAGAGGCACAGATCTAGGATGGGTGGAAAAACTTCCAGTGAATTAATATTGCAGGCACCGACGAGATAGGAATTAGCATTAACAACACTCCAGAATCTCAATTAGAAGTATTAACTGAAAAACATAAAAACATATAGTACTGGGGACATACCACCTGCCATAATGACACCTACTCAGTGACTAAAGGAAAAGACATATTAAAGCAAAATAAAGACCATAATATGCCTTTGCAAAAGTTCGGCCATGTAGAACACCATTCTATATTTTATCAAAACCAGAAATATTTAGCATAATATAATGATGAGCGATTATCCTTGCACGAAGATGGTCAATAATGACCAAGATGACAATAGATTTCCTTAGATGGCAAGAACAACAAAAAAGAATTACAAATTTGTAGGACACTACATTTTGCAATCATGACTCTGCTATGCATCTCTAACCCTATAAATACTAAAGAGGCCAGTGTAGCACACTGCCTGCTGGCGATCCTCTTTTGCCTATTGTTCAGGACAGTCACCCCAGAAGGTACCACTTTGGCATAAACCTCTTATTTTGTTCTGAAGGCACTTGAGAACATGTGGGCTCAAAAGAAACTTTTGTCCTTCCCTTAACCACCCAGAAGAATCTAAATTGGTGCTCTTTCCTAGAATAAGGGTTAGTAACAGAAGCAAATTTTATCTGAGTGCCCCATCTGCATGGAAGGGGGAACATCTAATGACCGAACACCCACACTTCATATTGCCCTGTGAAGTGCGTTTCTTTCCTCTGAAATCCCGGACTCCTGCCCCCTTCTCCTCAGTTCTGAATGACATATATACTCCATTGTGCTGGTCTTTGGAATTTCCATGTCTATGTGGATTCCCATATTTATGCTATTGGATTCTATTTTCTCCTGGTAATCTGTCTTGTGTCAATTTGTTTCTTAGTCCAGCTAGAAGGACTTTTGAGGGGTCCGGAATTCTTGCTCCCTGACACTCACTTTGTATACCATACTCAGTAAAGCTATGGATACTTCTCTGATATCTCCAGCAATAGCACAGTTCCAAAATGGAACGTCTGCTCCAGATACGCCTTAAGTCTATGACATCCTCTTCTTCCTCCATGGATTGCCATTTTAGTCACCTTATTATGACTAAGGACTTCACTGCATCACTGGCATCACCAGGCTCAGCCTTTCCTCCCCTCCTTTCACTGTCAGCACCATCTACTTACTGGTGTTGTAAAAACTTCAATCGGGGAGAAACCAAATACTAAGAAAAGCTGATGAGGCAGTGGTAATCTCCACTTCAATCTCCACAAGAATCAGTGAGGATCCTGATCAACACTTCCTAAAGTATTGACATTGACTTGGATTGTAAAGATTGACGTGGATTACTGATGGTCTTGTGGTAATACAACGCAGCAGATAAGCCAAGTGTCGTTAGTACAGACTATTCCCTTACCTTACTGAATTGACCGCAACATTGGATACATGGCAGAGGCTCTGAAAGTGGCCCCAGTTTAATTCCTGATTTACTTTGTGTGGCAGTGGTTTATTCTAAAAGAGCAGCAGCTGAATATACTGAATGGGCTATTATATATTTAAATACAAATAGGCCAAAAAAGATGATTTACAACAATCTCAACTTACACTGTTTAATCCATTGTCACCCATTAGAAAATTAGCAATAGATCCATGGGCACTGTTTCCAGACTTTGAAAAAAGAGCCAACTTGTAAGGTACATAGAGGATATATAGGGAACTTACCATATAACATATCATTATCCTTGGTGGTACACCAGCAGACTTCTATCTTACACTGCAGATTTCTACTCCAAGAACATGGGAACCCATGTTAATAAGACCTCTCATGGTCATACTGGAACTGACATAATTGCCTATACCCTGAAATTTTATATTCAGGACTTTCAACCAGATGCAGATCCCCAAATTGTGCATCTTTGTTACTGTGCGATTTACAACTATTACAACTATGCCAACAACAGGTTCACTAAAAGGAAAGAAACCTTTACAATTCCTTATTGGACTGGCAAGAAGTTTACCTGAGGAACAACAGTAGCTGCTTTTTCTCAATTCCAAATTGATCAACTCACACTGTTTCAGAAATTCTGAAAGCAAACAATCTGAATTTAACACTGGCAATGCCAGCTTTGTCCTGGTTGGGCACATAACTGGATAAAATTAGCAATATATTAAAGAACAAATTTTACACAGAAATATAGCAATGGAAATTTGACATAAAGCAGAAAATACTAAAACTAACACAAAACTAAAAAGGACATAAAAGATGTTTTTGTTCTTAAAGATTATTTATCTTAGAGTGAGAGAGAACATGAGCTGGGGAGGGGGAGATAGAGCAAGAGAAGCACGCTCTCCGCTGAGCAGGGACGCCCCCCCGCCACCACCTCACCTGGAGGCAGGGCTCAATCCCCGGACCCTGGAATCATGACCTGAGCCAAGGGCAGACTCTTAATTGGCTGAGCCACCCAGGTGTACCAAGAGATCTTTCTCTGAACGTACATTGTGAATTGTTGCCATTAAGATTGGTTGCTATGTGTAATATTCTTAGAACGGCTACTGTCTTGGGGCAATAGTGGTTACCTGAGATAACAGACAACCCAACCAGAAGTAAAGCAGATACCATACATTCTAGGAGCTGTGATTCAAGGGGTGACTGTGAAAACACAATATTGGCTCTTAAAGGAGGAAGGGGACATTGGGGTACTACAGTTTTGTGGCTTCTCGATATTAGAATGCCCAGAAAGCCACCTTATGATAGCAGGAAAACATGTACTGGATATGCTGGTGGAATGGATCCTATATTTTTCCCTGGACTCCCAGTAGGTGAGGGTGAGGTTTGGCTTAGAGCACACTATCCTGGTCCAGTTTTCCATATTATATGTAACTAGCTGAGGAGGCATCAAGGCCATAGTCCTCCGTACTTGTACTACACATACGTCCAAACATCTCACACTAATGAAGTTTATGTTAGTTTATGACAAGGACTAGAAACAGTTGTTTTTAGAAGTAAAGTTGTTTTGACAGAACAATGAAGTTGGGTCAGGATGGCATCATCTCCTCTGTTTCCACCCTTAAGAACTTGGTACCTCAGCTGCTGAGGGGTCCCATGGGGGGCTTCAGAATAAAAACATAAGAAGCAGCAACTATGGCAAGGGGACGTTTAGACTGTAACTAAGAGTGTGTGAGGACTATGCAGAGTGTTCTGTCTGGGCAAGGCTATACTTTGCTGATCTAGACAGGTCTCTGAAGACCTTAGGGCAATTAGCTCCTCCTGAGATAATGGAACTCTTACCAACAGCGACAAAAGCTATGTGGAGGCAAGAAGGTCATCCATCGTGTGGTGATCACTAGTGGCCTTGTTCTCTAGCAATGTGCTCTATCAGCAGAGGCCTCTTACTTTTGCACTGGGCGCTGGCATGTCTGCCCTTGTTTGGCTAAGTGCTCTTTTCCAGTTCCTCTAAAGGTACACCTCCGTTTGTTTATTTATTTAAAAGATTTTATTTATTCATGAGTGAGGGAGAAGCAGGCTCTCCACTGAGCAAGAGCCCAACGCGGGGCTCAACCTGAGCTGAAGGCAGACTCTTAATGAACTGAGCCACTCAGGCGCCCTACACCTCAATTCACCTCAATTTAAATTGGACTTTATTCATCTCACCTTGCCTGGAACAAACAATGTCATCCATCTAACGCTGGGCTAGAGTAGGTTATGAATTTACTGGCTACAAGAAGACATTATACTGTGCACTATTGGCTTGTGAAATTTGCAGTGGACCCATGTTAAATATACTGTGCAAAGACAAGGTCATTCTGTGAGCATTATTTGTGTCCCACCACAAAACAGCCTTCAGTGGGAGTATGTGCATTTGTGTGGTTAGGGCTTAGAACTTAGGCAGAGGCAAGGTACCACCAATAGCTTACTCCTGTGACCCAGTCTTGCCCAACACTGCCCAGTCCCCGAATTCTGACTCCCCTGACCTGGCTCCCAGCAGGGGCAGTCTACACGCTCACTATCCACCATGCTTGGCAGCCGGAGCCTCCCAGGCCTTGGAGTCAGGGCTCATCCCCAACCACTGGCATTGCCCCCCTCCCCCCCAACAACAGCTCGCAGGCATCCACTGAAATCGCCAAAAGTCAGTTGCCATTGTATTTACGGTTCGCTGGGGTCTCAAGCTTCTGCAGCTGTCCAGGCTCCCAGTTGTATCTTACTGGAAGCTACCTCAGCCCATTCACCCATTTCAGCCCTGGGAGGGCAGGCCAGACTCCTCTTGCTCTGCCTTCAAGTGGAATGTGTGCATTTGTGTAGGTCAGGGCTTAGACTTGGGTGGATTCCAGGTGCCCTCCAAAACCCCCTCCTGTTGACCCAGCCTGGTCTGACGTTATCCTATCCTAGGTCCCTGGCCTCGCCTCCCCTCCCTCCCTGACCTCCCAAGCATGGGCAGTCCATACCCTGTCAGCTGGCCCCTGGCCTCAGTGCCCTACAGACCCGCAGAGCTCAAGAAGTACCAGACAACCTACCTAGCTTCCAGGATGGGGAGCCCACCCACTGAAATCATTCTAAGGAGGCAGCCTTAAACTGGCGACTGTCAGTCCTCATTTGGATGGAGTCTGGGCTTCTCCAGCCAACAAGGCTCAGGAGTTGTTAGTGGAGAAGACCTTAGCCAGCCCTCCCTGCCCCACCCTGGCAAGGCAGTCCAGATTTCTCCAATTCCGCTTTGGCAGGAATATGTGCACTTGTGCAGATTAAGCCCTAGAAGTAGAAGGATGCCAGGTACATCCAACAGCATACTCCTGTGAGCTAGCCTTGCACGACATTGCCCGGTCCTAGGCCCGGGGCTACTTCGACCTGTGCTGGTCTATGCATGTGCCGTCCACTCAGTGTCTGCCACCCTTGGGCTGCTGGGGTGCACCTGTCCTGTGAAGCTCCTGCTGTGCCCCAACTTTCTGAAAGACCTCAGGGTGGACAGAGCTCTCCCTTCAAAAATATTTCTGAGGCAGCAGCTTTAAACTGGTGATAGGAAGTCCCCCTATGGACCATCTGATGAGGTCTAGAACTTCTCCAGGAACCAAGGCATCCAGGGTGGTATGTGTTATTCGAGAAAACCACAGCCAGTATTCCCAGCCCTGCTCTGTCAAGGCAGTCCAGATTTTTCAAGCTACACCTTCATGGGGTATATGCATGTTTGTTTTGATAAGGGCTTAGAAGTAGGCAGAAACCTTGTTTCTCCAACAGGCCCCTCCCATGAGCAGACCTCTCAAAAAATGTGTCCTGTCCCAGGTCCCTGGCTACCCTGACCTGCATCGCCCAAACACATGCAGACAATGCCTGGTGAGGTGGCCTTGTGCAGCTAGGCTCTCGTGGGCTATGGAACCCAGGCCACCAGCAGCCCCCTGCATAGATGTCAGACTCAAAGTATTTTCAAATGGCATCAAGATAGGCTGTCGATGACAGATTTTTCTGCTTTGTTGTTTGAATGTCTCTGGTGATTTTTTGAGTGGCCCGTAGAGTAATAGGCACAAAGATTGTCTATTATGAGTTATTGTGATTTCTCTGAAGGTTGTATCAAGTCATCTATATTTAGTTTGCCGGGCCTCAGGAAAAAGGTCAGCTTTGTTTCTCAATGAATCCAAGTCAAAATGATGGGGAAAATACTGGAAATGTTAGTTTGGAGAGTTGTAGCCAGACATTAGAGGAAATTAGAATTCAGAATCTAGTTTAGTTTACAGGTAGAAAACAAAATCTCAAAGACAATCAATGGACCTAAAATCTAATAAACACAGAAGTGTTACTGACATAAATTTTCTTTCTAAAGTCACCCTCATTTTCAAAGTTAGCCAAATTAAGACTAATTTTTCTTATAAATTTACTTATAATAATTATGTTAATAATTATTAATTATTTCATTAATGATTAATGATTAATGGATTCTTTACATAAGGACACCAAAATAGACACCAAAAATAGAGATGGATCCTATAGGCTCTTCTGTGCTAGAACTTTTCATTAGGATCTGCAGATTGAACTTTAACAGCCTCTTAAGGCAAAGAGGCCAAGCCAAGTGCTTGTCATCAGACTTCACTTGCAATACCCACAGATTAGGGTTACTTCCTCTTTTCCCAAAGTCCCCAAAATATCCTAGGTTTTTGCACCTCTCAGGAAGTGACCTTCTTTACATAACTGGTAAGGCTGCTGGGAACCCAGTAAGCAATGCTTCAGGCTGATATTTCCAGGGGGTCTTATTGGTTCCATAAAGCCAACCTCAGTTCCTTAAATTTACACAAATAAATATATTGCCATGAAAATATAAATACCGAGTTTCCAAATTCTGAACGGATTAGGTAGGGAGAAGTGTTTGAATTCTGCTTGCAAAGGTGTAAATTAGCCTAAGAGAAAGTTTCTTTAAATCTGGAAAAACAAAACATTAAAAAGGTCAGCAACGTTTTGAACCAAAAGTCGTATAAGTTATAGTCTTCCTCAGTTTATTCAGCCCCATGTAATTAATTTTTTGGCTTGAATGTGGGGTTTTAATTAATTCTGGAAATTTTTTTAACCAGTTCAGTTTTATGATCTTAAAGTTATCAGAAATCTGTATTCTAGAGATTTTTAGGAATTTTATACAATTTCTACAACACTTGTTTTAACAACATACATCTACACAAACGTAATCAAAGCAGGTTTACCATTATTTATTTGATAATGTGTCCCATGTAATTTAATAAACCAAAGAAGCCTATTTAGTTTCATACCTCTTTTCTGAGGACAGATTTGTTTCATGGACCCTCCAAAACACTTCAGTTCGTCTGTGATCAGTAGACTTCATTTTAGAATTTGATTTGGGGAAGTTTGTCAAAACATATCAAAAGGTGTGGGAGAGTGGGGGAAGATGGCGAAGTAGGAAGATCCTGAGCTCACCTTGTGCCATGGACACACTGAGGCAGCAACTGCATCTACTACAGCTAACTCTGAAAATGACCCAAAAACCGGCAGAGAGGATCTTCCCCAGCGAGGGAAGAGAGGACCACATCAGAAAGAGTAAGAGGGGTAAAGACATGATCAGGAACCAAAACCCAGCAGGACTAAGCACAAATGGGAGAGACAGCCCAAGCACAGAGGAGTGAGGATATCAGAGGCCACACTGGGCATCCCCACCCCCTGGGACCTGCCCTGGCAAGAGGACTCCCTATAATTTCTGGCTTGGAAAATCTATGGGGCTAACTCTAGGAGCGTTAAAAATCAGTGGTGCTTAATTCTGGGAGAGGTGGAGGATGACAGGAAACCCAGATCCTCCCCCTTAAAGAACCAGGACAATAAAGAACTTGGCCTGAGAGAGCAACAAAGTAGCAGTTTTTGGAAAGTGCCTGGGGTATATAAGAGGGAGACTCATTCATTCATCTTAGAACATGTGCTGGAGGGGCAGGAACTATAGTAGATTTCTCTGAGAACAAAGGTGTGGGTGGGCGTCATTTTTCTTGCCCTCCTTCAGCCTAGATAGCTGGGCTTCTACAAGAGCCAGTTCTAACACCCTGCCCCACTTCAGCATTCCCCTGCGGCTCTGCCCCACCCAACCATCAGTTTTGGTAGACACCCTTCCAAAGTGGCTTTTGCCCTGCCCCACCTGGCAGGCAACACTGGCTGGGGCCAGCAACCCTCTGAAGGGACTCCTGCCCTTAGGCAAACGGGAGATAACCACACCTACCCTTACACCCACAAATCCCACAGGTTAGCTGGCCCCCGGGGAAGCAAGAGGCGCCTGTTGGTGCACCTGTAAGGATCACAGAGGCTAACTGCAGACAGCTAGGCTGAATGCCAGCCCCACCTGCCGGCAATCCCGCAGGGGCTGCAGCTGGGCCTCTCATCAGCACAGGGAACAAACCCTGCCCACAGCACCTGGAGTAAATAAATTGGGTCATTACAGCAATCTGGGCTGCAGCCAAGCCCCACCCACTAGCATGCCCACAGCAATCACAGCACAGCCACACAAAAGGGGACAGGAAGTCCATGCAGGGAATACCTGGGGCACCTGATTCTGGTGACCAGGGGAACTGCACTACAGGGCACCACAGAACCTGTTCTATATGTGCTCATGACTATCAAGACCAGGAGACATAGCTGATCTACCTAATACATATGAACAAAGAAAGAAACGGAGGAAACAAAGGTCTCCCAAATGAAAGAAAACAATACTGCAGAAAAAGAGCAAAACAAAATGGAGATAAGAAATATGCCTGATAAAGAGATTAAAGTCATGATTATAAAGTTACTCACTGGACTTGAGAAGAGCGAATGAACTCAGAGAGAATGTCAATTAAGAGAGAAAAAATAGGGGCACCTGGGTTGCTCAGTGGGTTAAAGCCTCTGCCTTCGGCTCAGGTCATGATTCCAGGGTCCTGGATTCAAGCCCCGCGTTGGGCTCTCTGTTCAGTGGGGAGCCTGCTTCCCTTCCTCTCTCTCTGGCTGCCTCTCTGCCTACCTGTGATCTCTGTCAAATAAATAAATAAAATCTTTAAAAAAAAAAAAAGAGAGAGAGAGAAAAAATATATTAAAAAATGAGTTAGAGCTGAAGAATAACTGAAAAAATATAAATAAAAATCTAAAAATCGAACAGTTTAGATTATGCAGAAGAACGGATCATTAATCTGGAAGACAGGGTAATGGAAAACAAGCAAGCTGAACAGTAAAAAGAAAACCAGTAAATAATAAATGAGAACAGGCTTAGGGACTTTTGCTGTATCATCAACATAATAACATTCACACTATAGGGATCCCAGAAGGAAAAGAATGAGAGAGGCAGGCAAAAAACTTATTTGAAGAAATAATAATGGAAAACTTTCCTAATCTAGGGAAGGAAACAAGTATCCAGCTCCAGGAAGCAGAAAAAGCCCCCAAGAAGATAAACCCGAGAAGGTCCGCATGAAGATATATAGTAACTGAAATGGCAAAAATTACTGATGAGAGAATTATAAAAGCAGCAAGAGGAAAGAAAGCAAATAGTAACATACAAGTGAAAACACTGAAGGCTACTTACTTTTCAGCAGAATCTTTGCAGGCCTGAAGGGAGGGGGCAGGATATGTTCAAAATAATGAAAGGAAGAAATCTACAATCAAGAATACTCTATCCAGCAAGTGTGTCATTCCGAAATAAAGGAGAGATAAAAGGTTTCCCAGACAAACAAAAGTTAAAGGAGTTCACCACTCTACCAGCCTTACAAGAAATGTTAAGGGGAACTCTTTAAGTAGAGAGAAAAGGCCATATGAAAAAAAAAACAATTTCAATTGCCATTTGCAACAGATGGAATAGTTCTGGAAGGTATAATGCTATGTAAAATAAGACAGCAGAGAAAGACTAATACCACAGGATTTCACTAATATGTGGAACCTTAAAAAACAAAAGAAATGAACAAACAAAAACAAATCCATAAAACTGAAGAACAAACTGGTGGAGGCCAGAGGGGAAGGGAGTGGGAGATACAGGCTTCCAGTTGTGTCATCAACACTGAAAGTACAACACAGAGAATGAAGTCAATGGTACCGTCATAGTGACAGATGGTGACAGATGGTGGCTATAACCATGCTGAGCGTCACATAACATACGGTTATTGATCACTCTGTTGTGTTCCTGAAACTCATACAATGTTGTATGACAAGTACACTTCAAAAATAAAAACATGTATCAGAAAGTCTGAAAATATGTTTAAATAGCCTCACAGACCAGTATGGAACCATACATAATTATCTTTCCAAAGTGACAAGAAAATATCTCAGAGGCAAAAACAGAAGGTTGTATAGTTGTGAGCAAAACTTAGGTTTTAGTAAGAAAAGCATTCCTTGATCATTACAGACCTGATGATAAAGCTATGCAGCATAGGAAATTATTTTGATAAAACATAGCATCCTTATTTTCTAGGCAGATAACTTTAAAAGGTAAAAAACAAGTTTTATAATCTCTTATCAAAAGCAGATCAATCATTCAAGAACATGTCATCCTTTTCACAAAGAAAAACCCAAATTTGAGTTTTGCACACGTGTACTTTTGACATGAAAACTCACTTAACTTTATTCCAGTCTTATTCAGTGCTGACCACATGTACAATTCCTTTAAGATTCATTGTGATAAACCTTTTACAACTTAATTTTTTATATTCAGATTTTGTCTTATTTTCTTTTTTAGCCTTCTTTAGGACAAAATTACTTTCCTCTCCCTCAAAAAAAGGCATTTGTCTTCCTCATACTTTCTTTTACCAAAAGCATATATCCTGCTTTTCCTGCATATGGACATGGTTCCCTTATTATGTCTAGCAGCTTAAACTATATATATTACTTACTACTCAACTCTTAGAAACCTTAATTCCTCATGAAAATCAAGTGGCAAGCTATTGTGAACTGTTAGTCTTTTTTTTTTTTTTTTTTTTTTTTAGTTTGGCAAATTTATGAATACTTTTGTAATTTCTAGAAACACATACTTCTTCATAGGACAATCTCTCAGTAAAGCACAAGATATATTACTCTGTAACAGGGAAGTCAAAAGTAGACAAACCTATGTTTGTAATTAACATAATTAATTAAATTAATTGTAATTAATGTTTTATTATGTTATTTGGAAATGATGTGTATATTCAATAAATTCAACTAAAAATTTTACTAAATTGATGAGTTAAGATTTCAGATTACCAAAAAGTTTTGCAAGTCTTTTTTTTTTAAAGATACCATTAAGTATCATTGTTGCTAAAAAGTTTATAAATGGAGTGCCTGGGTGGCTCAGTGGGTTAAGCTTCTCCCTTCGGCTCAGGTCATGATCTTAGCATCCTGGGATCAAGCCCCGCATCGGGAATCTCTGCTCAGCGGGGAGCCTGCTTCCTCCTCTCTCTGCCTGCCTCTCTGCCTACTTGTGATCTCTTGCTCTCTGTGAAATAAATAAAATCTTTTTAAAAAAAGTTTATAAACTCTTATTCTATTTACCTAATAATTTGTTCCCAAGAATTATGTTTAGATTATCCAAAGAAACTTCAGGAGATAGTAAACAAAATCAGCTATCAGTTCTCTCCCTCTGTACCCCACCCCCCACCAAAAATAAGTAAATCTTAAAAAAATATACCTACAAGCATTTGAAAGGACAAGGCACACTTTGGGGATTGGTAAAATAGGTGGGCTTTGACTTGTTTCCATAGTTATATTTCTGGTTTTGTAGAGATTTGCAAGACAAAGACAGTTATTTTTAATTCCTGCAAAGACCTGCATTATAACCTAAATATCAAGGGACTGACCACCTTTTTAAACTTGCTTCTTTATATCAGGGAGATTTTTTAACTAAAACGGGAAATATGCCTTATTTCCCACACCTGGAGGGAAATATTGCCTTAGTAAAGTCTGTACAAAGCATCTTAACAAAAGCCTCTGATTACACAATTCAACCATGGTTTCTATTAGTCCCTGACCGTTGCCATTCCACTGATTGTTTGCAAGAGGGCCTCGGAACATTTTGGCCATCTCTGTGAAGAAGGGTATAGTGAATGGCCACTCATCTTTCTAGTTCTTCCCTAAATTTAGTAGGAACTTCTGAAAATGGAGGTAAAGGTAAATTATTTTATAATTTAAAATATCAGCTGCTGTTCAGGGGACACAAATTGTGTTTATGCGTCTGTCTTGGGGAGGGTGTTGGGGGGGGTGTCCTAGGATACACCTACAAAAGACATTGCATAGAAATGCCTGAAGCGGGGCACCTGGGTGGCTCATTGGGTTAAATCCCCTGCCTTCGGCTCAGGTCGTGATCCCAGAGTCCTGGGATCGGGTCCTGGGATCTAGCCCTGAAATGGGCTCTCTGCTCGGCAGGGAGCCTGCTTCCTCCTCTCTCTCTCTCTCTGCCTGCCTCTCTGCCTACTTGTGATCTCTGTCAAATAAAATAAATAAAATTAAAAAAAAAGAAAGAAAGAAAGAAATGCCTGAAGCTGCCAGAGCGTGATGACAGAGCCATGGAAAGTAGGAGCAAAACAAGTTTTACTGCCAGTCTTTGGTGACTTTTTAAAAAATTCATTCCCTGCCTTTCAGCATTTATTTAAGTAACCTGTGTTAAAATTAATAAAGGGAAACCTCAGAGTGGAACTAAGAGGTTTGAAAAGAAGAGCTCTCACGTTCTACCACTCCTGGTCATCAGTTGCAGAACCAACAGAAGAGACTAAACCTTGCTCAGGGACAGGACTTTACACTTCAAGCAGGAGGAGGGAAGGCTTCCTCCTTCCCCCCAGCAATAGCCCAGAAAACAAGAGACAGTCACAACTCAGCCAATGAAAATCCATTATACTTCCAGCACCAAGTTTACTCCAGTGGACTTTTTGTTTTCAACAGCCATCCAAATTCCCCACTTTGCACTATAAAAGATCATTCTTTTCCTTTGTTCCAAGGACTTGCCATATGCTTGCCCCAGGTTGGAATTTTTTGTTACTCCCAATAAACCCATCTTTTGATGGTAAAATAACTGGCAATTTAATTTTTATTAAAAAAATTTTTTTTGTAATTTATTTTTAAGGTTCACACTTGCATACTTCAAACCTTGAGATTAGACCACAGTGTTCTCTATAATCTTATCGGGAAAGGAAAATTAAAATAGGCAAATGGGGCCAGATTCTGAGAAAGGGAATTCACATTGGATGTAGACATTCATTTTTGTCTTAAGTTTAATTTTTGTTTTTTCTTTCTTTTTTTTAAAGTCTTTTCAAGAGAGTCCCAAAAGCTAACCACTATACTAATAATTAAGAACACTCTATATATTTTTTCATTAAAATATAATTTAAAGGCTCCATCATCTGGCAATGATAAGTAGAATCTTATTTCTTTTTTAAGATTTTATTTATTTGACAGAGATCACAAGTAGGCAGAGAGGCACAGAGAGAGAGTGGGGAAGCAGGATCCCTGCCGAGCAGAGAGCCTGATGTAGGGCTCTATCGCAGGACCCTGGGATCATGACCTGACCTGAAGGCAGAGGCTTAACCCATTGAGCCACATGGGCACCCCGAGTAGGATCTTATTAATCTCAACAGTGACTCAACCAATAATCCTTTTTATGGGAAGACACAGAAGCAACTTTCCAGGCTTAGACCATTGACCCAAGAGGCATGCCTGGAGAGGGAAAAAATAATGCAACCCCATTACCCAAAATTTTACTCGCCAAAATAGTCTAAGACAGCAAAGGCCTTCATTGCACAGGCAGCAAAGATAGTGTAGAGAAAATGGTAGCTTCAAGTCTCCCAGAAAAATGTGAGATACCTTCTCACAAATCTGTGACATGGGGCAGGCACTCCTGTAATGACACTTTTCCAGAACTAACAAAGGTTAAGATGACAAGTGTCCTTTATCAGCTGGGACCTCTTAGAACACAGTCCCTTGTGACCTGGCATGAGCAGACAATGAAAATACTGCTTATAACTCCGAGTCTCAGAACACCACTCTATTTGACAGGACACCAAGGTGCACCCTGATAAGTGAACCCTTTTTGGTGTGGAGACCAGAGACCACATTCTCACTGGTCACAAAGGCAAGCTCTTAGGACATAAAAAAGACAAAAGGAAAAACTATGGCCATCTCTGGATGGAAATGGATCTCTAAGCAAGAGAACTCTACTAACGTCACCAGAGTCCTTAAAGCCAAGAAACCAGTTTCACAAATATTTCCTCCTGCTCATCTAAATTTAGCCCGTGCAGGCAGAGATCTAGGAGGTGACGTGGTGGTGAGGATTCTTACCTTCCCCCAGCTTTTGTCAGATGCCCCATCATCTCTCAGCTGCAGCAGTGTCCTGCCAGTTAGCGTGTATCCTGCCAACTCTGCCAGCTGTTGAGGAGGAAAAGTATGCTCTACCCTGGAAGATTCTTCCGGGTGATCTAAGATTTAAATTGACAAGACACAGATTAAAAAGAGAAAAAGTTTAATTCTGTGCACAGAGAGGCCTGATATTAACACTGAGATCCAAGGAAACCAAGGTAGGCAGCTACGAGACTTTTCTTAGACATAGAAATAACACATCAGTGATGAGTTGATAGTACAAAGAAAACTTAGAATTTCTTTAAAACTGAAGCCTGCAAATATAACAGAATTTGAGCTTGGGTAGTAAAATTGGTAAAAGTAACAAGGGGTTTACCCAGACTTCTTAACTCTGAATTCCAGATCTCTGCTGATACTGATGTCTCTTTACCACCTGGTAAAAGGAAGGTACATTTTACATGGGAGAACTTTTTTTTGCTTTGTGGAGACAAAGTGAAGTCTGGGTATTATACTTGCACTGGGTATTTTATAAGGAACTTTAGCTCAAAATAATCAATATGCTGAGGCGGCGTGTTTTGTGGTAGCCTGGCCTTGACCCCACATGTGCATTTGTGGACATTAGGACCTGGATTTAGGCAGATGCCTTGAACCTCCAGTAGCCCACTCCTACAACCCAGCCTCTCCGGACTCTCGCCAAGTTCCAGATTCCCAGCTCCCCTGACCTGTGCTGTCAGGGCACCTGGAGTTGGAAGCCCTTCAGCCAGCCTCCAGAAGCCAGGGCCCAGCAGGCCAGGGTAGCTGGATCTTGACCCCAAATACCTGCATAGGTTCAGTGTGGAAGTTACCACCCGCAAACATCACCCTGGGGCAGTAACTGCAAATCGGAGACAGTCCCTTGCCATTTGGACTTGCTGCCTGTGGGGTCCAGAGCTTTCCTAGAAAACCGGTCTCCCAGGAGTCTCTTATTAGAGGATACTCTGGCCAGCCCTCCCAGCCCTGCCTTGCCAAGGCTGTCCAAGTCACCTAGAGTTCTGCCTTCAAAGGGGTTATTGCCTATTGGGTAGGCTAGGGCTTGTGGGTCCTCATATACCTTTCCCTGTGAAAATGAGTAAACGAAACTTCATTTAAAATGGAGTCGGGTGTGTCTGGGTGGCTCAGTCTGTTAAGCATCTGCCTTTGGCCTAGATCATGATCCCAGAGTGCTGGGATCAAGTCCTACATCGGGCTCCCTGCTCAGCAGAGAATCTGTTTCTCATTCTCCCCCGTCCCTCCCCCACTGCACATGCATGTTCTCTCTCTCATGCACTCTCTCTCTCTCTCTCCCCTCCTCTCTCAAGTAAATAAAATTGAAATAAATAAATGGAGTCAGGAAGCTCTGGAAGAGGGAGCAATCACGCACTTACCACTCCTTGCAGCCCGCATAACCAGCAGAAGGAACAGAATTCTTATCTTGACAATGTAAGACATCTTTATAGGAATTTTATCTCCTGCTTTTCAGAGAAAGAAGGAAGATCTTATTCAGCCCCAGCAACAAGAACTAACCATTGCTTACAGCCAGTGAGAAATTGTCACAACCTCAAGTTCTTATTCTTCTTCAATGAACTTTTGTTCAAAACAACCCTCCCCACTTTTCTCCTAAAACTTAATAAAAGCTGACCTTCCTTCTGACTCTTTGTACTCACCAATGGTTTGCCATAGTTTGCTTGTCCCAAATTTCAATTCCTCTGCTATTCCTGGAGAAACTCATTTTGCTGGTAAAACAATTGGCTTTGAGTCCCTTTTGGGTTTTGTGCGCTCTCTCTTTGTATTGTGAGCTCTCTGGGTTTATTTGGGATTGATTTTTGTTTTTATGAAGGCATCACCCTTCCTGGTGAGGATGCTTTTGTTTGTTGTTTGAAGCTTCCTAGTACATTACTCATTGTATTCAAAAGGGAGGAAAACACATGATTCACAGTGTTTTACAAGAATTGTTCAAAAATAAGGCCTCTTCCAGTTAAGACATCTTAGGGAATCCAAAGGCAAGTTAGCTTCCACCTGTCTCTTTAATCAGCATCCTTTGCCTTTCTTGAAAAATGCGTAAACTTTTGAAGAATTTGGAATTGTAATGGCCATATTCTCAAAACCTTTTAGATAAATCCACCTTAAGGAGCCCCCTTAAAAGAGGATTACAAACCTCAGAAGGACAATGAAATGCATTCTTCGATGTGCAGAATCTTCTAAAGACAAAATGACTTTTTAAAAGTTCTGAATGGATCCTTATAGCATGCAAATAAATAAGCTTTAATAAAAGACTTTGGCCATCTCAGCAAGAGACGTTAACTTAGTCCACTTGCACAATTTGGATCTCATTAAGGTGAACCCTTGAATAAAGCAGGGGTTAGGGACACCAACCCCACACAGTCAATAAGGCATATATGACATTTGACTTCCCCCAAACTTAACTATTAATAGCCTACTGTTGATGATGAAGGAAAGATGTTGGTGTTTGGAGCCCAAGGCCAAGAAAGAATTCTTGAGACATCTTTGGTGCAAAGGTGGTTTTATTAAAGCAAGGGGACAGGACCCGGAGCTGAAAGAACTGCACTGAGGTCATGAAGAGTGACTGATTATATACTCTCAAGTTGGGAGGGGGTTGGGGATAGCTTTGTTTCTAAGGAATTTTGGAAGCAAGATTTCCAGGACCTTGAGGGGTGTGCTGTTGTTAGGAACTCACTTATTACTATCTAGATATTACTATCTAATAAAACCTGAGTCATGAGACCCTTCAGATGTACATCAGTGGGTCGTATGCTTGGGGGATGATTGCCAACATGTACCTTGGGGGGTAGAGATAAAGCACATTTCCAAAGGAACTTTTTTATGTTAAAGTAGACTCATAGAATCCTGGGGATTGGGCTAAGATTGTCTTTTGCCCTCAGCAAAGTTTTAAAGGCAGCTGAGTTCCTAGAAGAATGTCACTCGTCCTGTTTCAAGGACCTGTCAGTGGGTTTTAAGTAGAAAGGAAAGTTAATTTTTCTTCTGCCTTTGTTTCCTACATCACTGACAATACGCCTTACCAATAACATAAGCAGTCAATTAACAAATTTTGTATGTTATGTGTGTTATACACTGTATTCTCACAAAAAGAGAAAAGAAAATATCATTACATAAATCACGAGGAAGAGAAAAAACATTTACAGGAGCACCTGGGTGGCCCAGTCAGTTAAGCGTCTCCCTTCAGCTTCCGTCATGATCAGGGTCCTGGGATCAAGCCCTGAGTTGGGCTCCCTGCTCAGCGGGAAGCCTGCTTCTCCCTCTCCCTAGTGCTCCCCCTGCTGTGCACACTCTGTCAAATAAGTAAAATCTTAAAAAAAAAAAAAAAAAAAGGAAAGAACAAAAGAAAGAAAAGAAAAAAGAAAAAGAAAGGAAAAGACGCTTACAGTACTGATGAGACAGCAGAAGGCCTGCTGAAGACAAAGCATAAGCAGACACCCTACAACTCCCCCGCCCCTTCTGGTGGACCCTTCTGGGTGGGTCCAGTGAGACAATCTTCCAAGAAGCTCCCAACTATCTTAATGCCTTGCTAGAGGGGAAAAACAAACTTAACTAGACAGGGGTAAGGCCTCCCTTATCTCCTAGGTGCTCTTTAGCAGTAGTAATCAATTGCTTCTCACAACACCAGGGCAGCTCTTTCTGCCCCGGGTTCACTCTCGTGCTTTGATAAAACCACCTTTTTGCACCAAAAGGTCTCAAGAATTCTTTCTTGGCCCCGGGCTCTGGACCTACCCAGGGAACCTCACCTATATTCTAAAACCACATCAGTACTGTACTGTATTTATTGGGGGAAAAATAATCCACATGTAAGGGAACCTGCACAGTTCCAACCCGCATTGTTCAAGATCAACTTTATTTTCTCTAGAGTTTCCTACCTGCGACAGGATTAAATTTCTAAACAAAAGCTACACTATATCTGAATCTATAGGTTATGTATGTCTATCTGTAACATACATGTTACAGATAGGGGATATTTTTCTACCTCAAGATGGTATTATCAAAGTTAATTAGTAAAGACCTTGATTTAATTGGCTTAAAGAAAACAAAGCATTTATATAAATCAAATATACTTTCAGAAACATACAAACTAACTCAAATGTTTTCTAAATTCATATCTCAGATAATCTCTGATAAATTGGCAGTTTAAATTTATTGCTTTAACTTTTTTTTTTTAAAGATTTTAATTTATTTATATGAGAGAGAAAGAGCACAAGCCAGGAGAAAGGCAGCTAGAGAAGCAGGCTCCTCGCTGAGCAGGGAGCTGGATGAGAGGCTTGATCCCAGGACCCTGACCTGAGCCAAAGGCTTAATGACTGAGCCACCCAGGCACCCCCTATTGGTTTAATGTTTAAAAAAGGCATGTCTTCAGAATTCTCAGCATTAAATATAATGCAGATAAACAACTTTTTTTCTGAGTCTACTCCAAGTAGGTTCCTTGAAGTTTCATGGAAAAGAAATTTTATGTACGGTTAAGCTGGCTGAAAATTGAATTGTTATAAGGATTTTAAAACTGACCTTTAATACCAATAATGTACTTTTGTAAAAACTCTCCTATATATTAAAAGGGCAAAGTTTTCTTGGACTGTTGGTCTGCTTTTGAAAAGCTAATGTGAATGATTTTCTTTGTCTTTTAAAGGAACCTACTTGGAGAGCAAAGATTTTATGTTTTCTCAAAATAATTTCCTGTACTTCATGCTTTTATCATCAAATAAACGGAGTCTTCTGGAGATTAAGAAAGCTAAGTTTTGCTTACAACCACACAATCCTTTGTACTTTTCTCTTTTTTTTGAAGACTTTATTTATTTGAGAGAAAGAGAACAGGGGAAGAGTGAGAGAAGCAGGCTCCCTGCTTAGCAAGAAGCCCCAATACCCAGGAGCCGGAGATCATGACCTAATAGGAAGGCAGATGCTTAACAACCTGAGCCACCCAGGTGTCCCGACCTTTGAATCTGCCCTTGACATCCTTGATTGTTGCTTTGTTTGAGTAGACAATTAACTGTTGTTTCATAATGATCTGTGATCCTGTTTGGTCAAGTGTCCAAAACCTATTTTTGCTTACAAATTTCTGAAAACCAAATTCTAAATAGTCTTTTTGACCTAAACATAACTGATAAATTTCAAAGGATCTCTGACACTTTTCAAAAGATTTGTTCCCTTTTCTTATAAAAAGGGAGAGGTTTTACTAATTAGGATTAGTTGATATGTTAAATTACATGGGAAGCATTGTGAAATGCGAAGTAGTACTATGCTTTGTGTTGTATTTGTATGGTACGGGTATATATTATAAGTATTCTAGGAATTACCAAAAAAATCCCTAAAATTCTGTTATGTCCTGGTATAATGTTATCAGTCATAATTCTAATTACTATCTTGAGATGTTGTGTGTCACAGAAATAACTAATTTCCTTGTTATTTATATAATGAACTCTCACCAGCTCCCTAACCATTGGTATTTTAATGTCTTTTGTCATTTATGCCCATTATGCCCATTTATTAAGTGTTTCTTCAAAGACATTCATGAGAAAGACTTTGACAAGTACTCTAGAACGCAGGATTGATAAACTGAAGATCGTACACTGAACAGAAGAATTTCTAAAACTTTTCATAGAAAACTGGTTGCTTTAATGTTTTGTTTTCCAGACTTCAAAAACTGCCTTTTTGCCTCTCCTTTAAGCTATCCACAATTTATAGCAATTTGGTAAAATGTCCAATTTTAGTATATGTGCTGCCAAAGTGAGCACACAATTTTGTAAAGTGTACCTTTACGCCGAAAGTTGAAGCATTTATCTTTTTCTCCCTGATCCCTCCAGAATTCTAAAACTCTCAAATATTTGTATTTTTCATGACAATGTACATTTTTGCCTAAGTTCAGTAAGAATCTGTTTTCCTTGCAGCAAAACCCTCAATGCATCTAGCCCCTGCTTCTTTGACCCATGGCTGATAAGAGATTTTTCTCAAATACTGTAATGGCCTAATTGCTTCTATTAAAATATCCATGCTTGTGGTAGAGCATTCTTTGTTTTTTTTTTTTAAATTGGGTTATGTTAGTCACCATACAGTACATCATTAGTTTTTGATGTAGTGTTCTATGATTCATTGTTTGTGTATAACACCCAGCACTTCTTTTCCACGGAGTGCTCTCAGGAGATGAAGTTCTTAAACATCACACCTTTGCAACCTGGGGACTTCACCTATTGGCAAAGACATCTCTACAAAGACTCTCTTCCATCCCTTTGGAAAGATCCCATCAAGTACTCTTAACCAACCTTGTACGGCCAAACACCAAGGAATAGACACTTGGATTCATGCGTTACATCTGAAGAAAGCACCAAACCCGTTCTGGACCTGCATACCTACTGGTGACCTGAAAGTAAAGATTTCTAGGAATTCAAACAAGTGACAGCTGAAGAAGACAGCTTTGTCTATAATAGAAAGACCAGGACTTTATACCCTTCTCCTGCTGCTGCTTTTTACTCTGCCCTCCACCAAACCCTCCCCCGCCACAGGCATAGTCTTCTCTTGGAGAGGTCTCGGTCTTTCCCACATTTCTTAGTGTCTTACAAAAGTGGTAAACCTCTCTGACTGCTGGATCCGTCATCAGAGACCCCATTCTGCTCTCAATGTCAGAGACCACTTGATCTTACTTGTAACTAATTTCTCTTTAGTCCCGAATACAATGGCTGATTTTACCCACAAGCCTAAGGCCAGTACCCAAGTAGTTAGGTTGTTAAGACCTGGTGTTTCTCGTTGTTTC